AATCTGAAAGAGAAGAATAATAAACCTTATTTTGGAGAAATTCAAAAGATTAAGGTAGAAATGCAATTGATGGGTACTTGTGGGTGTGTAATGGGCACGTTTCCACTCGGAAACAAAAAAGATGGAAGGTGCGGTAAGGTTGTATCGTTTCGAAAAGGCAACTTTTTTGCATATTTTAAGTTACAAATCCATCGAATCCACCTGGCGTCATGCGAAGAGTAGTATGTCAACATCTGGCCGTACTAAAAGTCATCTCCCAGGGAATCTTGCCAGATATATTTTCCACAAATCGTGCACAGCGAAGAAGCTTGATAAGGCGGCGGAATTTTATCGAATAGCTGCGATTATGTAAGTACGACCCTATGAAGCCAGCTGAGCAACGGGACCTGGAGGAAATCGCAAATGAGTATCCATCCGATAACGAACCGTCTATATATATTCGTCTACTCGGATACACTTGCGTAGCGTCTGGGAGCTCACATTGTTATAAATATTTTTTATGTTACACGTGAATTAACAATGTAAGGCACACAGATATTTACCTACTTGCGTACTTGCCAATTACACCCGTCTATAACTTCATGATATATTTCTATAGTTTTCCTCATATCAAATAAGAAAGTTGTTTAGAGGTAGAGCAATTAAACGTTTCTGTATATAGAGATGTATATTAAAGGTGATTTAACCATGATGCTAATAGATATTGACCGACAGAAACCCGGATTAAGATATTTGAAGGAGCGTTCTTTCTGATTGTGAACACAGTTTTTTAAAATTCGGTTTGATAACAATTGCACAAGGGCTAAGTGAAGTTTGGTAATATTAAGCTATTTTACGTACAGAGCGGTGTTCTTCATCTTTTATTGATTTTAATATTAACATATCGGCAAACGAGGACCGACGATTTCATAAAGAAAGAATCAAGCTTTCATATGGTGCATTTAGTGTTCTGCTATGTCTAATAATAAGAAAGATGTCAGCTAATAAAATAGGATATAGATAGGAAATTGAGGATAAACGTTTGTTGTTGGAAGGTTTGTTGCTATCGTTGCTATCGTCACATCGTCAATCGGGTATTTCCACTTTCGTATTGGCCAAGGATTAAGCTTTCGAATGAGACATTGTTTATCGAAATCGGTTCACTGGTTCTCATGTTATAATTAAAATACTATACATGTAAAATTCTGTTTAATTGGGGGCTAACTTCACATAGGTGTCATTATGAATAATTATGTTGTAATCTCAACAAGTTTAGTGAAAATAACTTTTTATTTAGTGCGTGGGTATAAATTAAACAATTTGAGGTTAGGATTTAATA